ATAATTAAAAAAAAGTATAAATTGATAAATAGAGTATCTTGGTCATTTTCATTATTTCTTTTTAATTAATTATATTTTGTAAATCAAATATACACATTCTAATTCATTGTACATATTATATTTCATTTTCTATCAACCAAGCCTTTGATCAAATTTCTTTTAAATTTCTTTTGGATTCAAATTCATTTGGCAAAATTTCATTCCTTCTGAAAACATTCAGCAAACCGACCACCCCTTAGATTTTTAAGGGCAATATTATTTTCGTTAGCGTAAATGACAATAAAACTTAAGTTTTTGAGACTTCTTCCTATATGTTAGTAGTTTGAGTCCTTCCAAGTCCATTTAGGATTTTCTTGATACCCACAGTTACCATAAATATCTTTTTGGGTTTTCCCAAGATAGATAAGTGATGGTATCGTTAAAACGATTAAAGATGTTGGGCATTTGTGATGAATCAATAAATATCAGTTATTAGTTTGAAATAAAGAAAATATGTATTTTTTGTACGTGAGTTCATATTGCATAGAATGCACGTGGTTTTTAATGAGCGAATGAGTTAGATACGTGTGTTCATATGGTTAACATTCTAGTAACTATCTAATTGGCAAAACATGAGCATTGATTTCAGTGACAAAAATAGGTCTCAATCTAACGATAAATATGCATATTTGATGCGTTAATAAATTTACGCACAAGTACATTGCGTTCTCAAAGAAATGAAAATGTACCTAATGCAAGATTGACGTGTTAAATGATGTTGACATTATGCAACAATGAAATGAGTTTGATTTTCTTATTAGAACTTTTGGCAAGTTAGTAAAGAGCATGCATTCGTAACCCATAGCATGCACGTGGTTTGTAGTGAAACGAGCTAGATATGTTCATTAATATAGTTTTTGTTGTTGTGGCTATCTATCACACCCTATTTTCCTAGGATCGTAATGTTTTAACAATTTTCATGAATAATACAAAATAACATAACATATTATCAACCAAATCTAGCAAAAAGGCTTTCAACATAATTACAAACTTAACAAATTGATATCGAGTACTTCTGAAACCAAATACTAAAACATATTGAAACAACTGGAAGGAACTATAGTTCAAGTTGAACATAACATCAATTGTGGCTAGATCTGAAACAGAGTATTACATCTTCTATTTCTCTTTGTTTCTTTCCCACTTGAGGTGTACATTACTAGTCAGTTTTACACTTAGGGAGTTAATAATTTTTGTGTTAAACAATTATCAGTACTTTTTCTAGAACATATGGTATCAAATATGCCAATACACTTTCTTTATTCATGCAATTTGAATGTATATATAAAAGATAAATATATAGTTGACCATACAATATTAACTTTGTTATGCATATAAAGATAATTGAAAATATGATATCTCAAATCTGAATCGGCATAGTAGAGCCTATCAAAGAATAGTGATCACAATATCTACTAGTAATATTTGAGCACACCAAGTACAAAGATATTTCTTGGTCCCTAATAAGATAAATGATATCACAACAAGCATTTAAAGAAGAGAGGATTTGCAAGGGATCCATTATTGATAAGGGTTTTACCACACGATTTTCTAACCGCAAGCATATGATGCCAAATCAAGTAATATGCGACAAACACAAATATCAAATCTAAGGAACAAAGACATTAAGTTCTACGACAGTTACGACAATTACTAACTAGACTGTTGAATTGTGGATTAGTGATTATTTAAATAGTTAATACTACTAAAACTAAAAAATTATTAGAAACACAAGACAAAGAACTGGATTTAATTCAAATTGGAAGTAGTTGGGTGTTAGATGTAACAACCCTCATAATCCCATATACATATAATTCACATCATCATATTCATAATACTAAAAAAAACAGTATTATTACAAAACATGGACTAACAAAATACATATATGAACAAACTATTATCTTCGTTTAAACTTTTCCTTTGCCCTTATCTTGCAAAGTACGCTGACCTACAAAACAGGTTAGTCCAACAACTGAGCGTTAGACCAAAAAGTCTAGTGAGTGTATAAATCTCAAAACAAACAACTTACATTCCAAACAATCAGTTCAGAATCAAACCTGTTCTGAAATATAAGCATATTTATATTTCTCGCTCGCGGTTACACCGCCATTTCATCTATCTCGCAGTTACACCACCATTTCATCTCTCTCGCGGTTACACCGCCATTACATCTCTCTCGCGGTTACACCGCCATTTCATCTCTCCCGCGGTTACACCGCCATTACATCTCTCTCGCGGTTACAACGCCATTACATCTCTCTCGCGGTTACAACGCCATTACATTTCTCTCTCTCGGTTACACCGCCATTACATCTCTCTCTCTCGGTTACACCGCCATTACATCTCTCTCGCGGTTACACCGCCATTACCATTACATCTCTCTCGCGGTTACACCGCCATTACATCTCTCTCTCGCGGTTACACCGCCATTTCATCTTAAAAATATTTCAAAAACTTTATATCTCTTTATCCGGACTTGAAGTCCGGTCAATCTTAACACTTGAAATTGAGTTAACATCTTTGTCCGGATTACAAATCCGGACAATACTTCACTTACAATGTTAACCGGTTTAGACTAATCCGCTCAATATACTAAATATTTTGAACGGTTTAAATGATATCTGGTCACCTCTTGGCCGGTTTAATTGATATCCGGTCAATACATGAGCGGTTTATTATCTGGATATCAATCCGGACACCACTTGAACGATTTAAACAAGAACCCACATAATATGAAACAGAATTCATAATAACCAGTTTCAAATGCTATTAAATTGTATGTAAACAATTTATATTCAAAGCTCTAATACACTCACCTTTTAGAAATCGAGTATCAAAGCTTTTGACTCCTCTTCTTTAGCAATCCTTCTGATTCTTCAGAGAAAAACCTTCTAAATATAGTATGTG